TTTAGATGGAGTTTTGCTCTTGTTGCCCAGGCTGGAGTGCAATAGTACAATCTCGGCTCACCACAACCTCCGCCTCCCAGGTTCAAGCGATTCTGCTGCCTTAGCCTCCTGAGTAGCTGGGACTACAGGCATGTGCCACCATGCCTGGATAATTTTTGTACTTTTAATAGTGACAGGGTTTGTCCATGTTGGCCAGGCTGGTCTCAAACTCTCAAACTCAGGTGATGCACCCACCTCGGCCTCTCAAAGTGCTGGGATTACAGGCATGAGCCACTGCACCTGACGCAGAGGTGGCTTCCCCCCCCCACCCCGCCCCCAGAGACAGAGTCTTGGTCTGTTGCCCAGACTAGAGTGCAGTGGCGCAATCTCGGCTCACCACAACCTCCATCTACCTCCCGGGTTCTAGCAGCTCTCCCGCCTCAGCCTCCCAAGTAGCTGGGACTACAGGCGCACATAGCTACGCCAGGCTGATGTTTTTGTGTTTTAGTAGAGATGGGTATTCACTGTGTTGCCCAGGCTGGTCTCGAACTCCTGAGCTCAGGTAATCCACTTGCCTTGGCCTCCCAACGTGCTGGGATTACAGGCGTGAGCCACCACGCCTAGCTCAGAAGTGGCTCTTAAAGCGAGTTTCAGAGGGACAGTTGGTAGCTCAAGAGGCCAGGAAGCCTATTTCCCGCAGAGGGAAGCCCTCCTGCAAACATGGGGGTGAAATATTGGGAGATTTGGAGGCAGCCAGAAGTCCCACGCGATCAGGCCGGAGTTGGTGAACGTGAAGCTGGAGGTCTCCTTGGGCTGGGAGTCCTGGTGCCAAGCAGAGGAGAGTGAACTGGACCCGGAGCTCATGGGAGGAGGATGGGAATCCCTGCTCTGCCATGGGCCTTGGCGAGACCCGACGCCCAGACCTCACCAGAGTGACCTGGCAGGGGAGTCCATGGACATGGCTCAGACGTATTGTTAGCAGCTCTGGTGGAAGTGACTTGTCTGTTGACAAAGGGTAACTTCACGTCCTCCTGCGTGGCAGAGTGATTTGGGGATAAAACGGATGGCATCTGTGAAACACCCAGCTCTGGCTTCTCAGGGGCTACTGGGTGCAGTCTGGGGCCTCTGGAATGTGCAGGTGGCTGGCAGCACTGAGGTGCAGGGTCCTGTGAGTCGGAGAGGGACAGTGTTTGGGAGTGGGGTGTGGGCTTGGGCATTGGGAGCTCCTGAGCTTACTCAGTGGGCAGCCAGCACCCTATTCCATAGCCATGCAGCAGAACCCCAGAGGTTGTGTCCAATCCTGATGCTTTTAATTGAGCATCTACTAGACTGGGGCGGGGGGTCTAAGTCTGGATTTTATCCACCCCCACACACTCCCTGGTGGTGCTGTGAGATCTGGAAGCTGAGACCCACTGGCTTAGCAGCACAGCAGGGCCTTGGGGTCCTGAATCCTGGCTGTCCCAGTTTATGACCTAGGGCATGTCACCAGACCTGGACAAGCCTCAGTTTCCCAATCTGTAAAGTAGACAAAATAACCCCTCCACGGTAGGCCCCTCATGAGGGACGGAGACATCTCTCAGGAGCCACCTGGGGCACAGAGCGCTGTGATGAACTCACAAAGAACAGCTGCCCGTGGGAGCGGCTCACACCTGCTTGGCTGGCCAGGCTCAGCCCAGCTCCACCTTCTCTGCAGACCTTCCCCTACTCTGTTCGCCCGCCTGATGTGTTGGGTGCCTCTGGGTCATGTGCCTGCACTGTCTTGACTCCTAAGGTGCTAATGCTCGTGTGCTTCCCATCCTGTGGCTGGGCCATTGCTGTATGCACAGTGCCCAGCACATAGTAGGACCTCAATACATGTTTGCCTGTGTTAAGGAAGGGCTGTTACCTGCTGCTCTTTTTTTTTTTTTTTGGAGACGGAGCCTCACTCTGTTGCCCAGACTGGAGTGCTGTGGCGTGATCTCGGCTCACTGCAACCTCAGCCTGCTGGATTCCCGTGATTCTCCTGCCTCAGCCCCCCCGAGCAGCTGGGATTACAGGCGTGCACCACCACGTCCAGCTAATTTTTGTATATTTGGTAGAGACAGGGTTTTACCATGTGTCTAGGCTGGTCTTGAACTCCTAACCTCAAGTGATCTACTTGTCTTGGCCTCCCAAAGTGCTAGGATTACAGGCGTGAGCCACGGGGCCCAGCACAGAGGCTCTTTTCCCCCGGAAGGCTTTAACCGCCTCCTTCAGAGTTATCCATCCTCTTCATGTGTTCATGAGTTTCTTCATTCATTCAACAAATATTTTTTTTTTTTTTTTTTTTTTTGAGACGGAGTTTCGCTCTTTTTACCCAGGCTGGAGTGCAATGGCGCGATCTCGGCTCACCGCAACCTCCGCCTCCTGGGTTCAAGCAATTCTGCCTCAGCCTCCCGAGTAGCTGGGACTACAGGCGTGCGCCACCATGCCCGGCTAATTTTTATATTTTTAGTAGAGACGGGGTTTCACCATGTTGACCAGGATGGTCTCCATGTCTTGACCTCGTGATCCACCCGCCTCGGCCTCCCAAAGTGCTGGGATTACAAGCGTGAGCCACCGCGCCCGGCCTCGACAAATATTTTAATTGAGCATCTAATATGCAGCAAGCCCTTTCCAGGCACTGGGGATAAAGTAACAAAAGGGACAAGGTCCTGTTAGCATTGCAAGCCAGCTCTTAAATTCAGACTCTGGAGAGCTGAGGGTGGCCACGCCCACCTTAGGACTGACCGCCTGGCAAGCAGGTGAGGCTGCTCTGCTGGTTGGGGTAGGGCCGCTGGCCAGGGGTTGAAGGAGAGACTGGACATTTGCTGGGGGTTGGACTACTGCATCTTGTGAGAATGCCCACAGCAATGGGGGATGGTGAGTGTGTGTGTGTGTGTGTGTGTGTGTGTGTGTGTGTGTGTGACAGCGTGAGCGAGCTGGTGGTGTGGCATGTGTGCCCAGAGGGACGCAATGCCCAGGTGTCCTGCAGATGTTCATGGGGCATCCAGCCCCACCCAGTGCCTCCGTGGCTGCCAGCTGCCCCTGCCAGGTGAGAGCCCAGCCTCTGTTGTGTCTGCAGGTACGATGAGAAGCTGCAGAGCATGCACCAGGGCCGGCCGCCACCTTCCGCCAAGACACCGCCGCCGCGGCCCCCGCTGCCCACCCAGCAGTTTGGCGTCAGTCTGCAATAGTAAGTGAGCCGGGGATGCATTTGCTCCTCTGCCCGGGGGCCCTGGGAGCTATGGGCGCTGCGGGTCTAGAGACATTTTCCCCAGACCTTTGCTTCCAGCAGCCGAGCTTAACCCTGTGGGAAAGATGAAGCCTGAGCTCACCACTGAGGCCGCATGCTCGCTGCTCTGTGCCTGGCGTGACGACCAGGAGTGGGCAGCGGAACCCTGAGGTTCCCGCCCCAGCTTCCGTCCCTGCTGCTCTCTGTGCTCCAGGTGCACAGTGGGACACCTCCCACCACCTCAGGCAGGGCGTGGTCATGGGATGTGCTTGGGTGTGGGTGTGGGCGTGTCGTGCTAGGACAAAGCTTCCCGAGCCAGTGGGCAGCGGCCTCTCGTGGTGATGTACAGGCCGGGGTCAGGTGGAGGCGGTGCCTTGTCGCTCTGCGTCCCTGATCCCCGCACCACTGTGCACTCTGCTAACACCCAGGCTGGACACAGGCATAGTGAAGACAGGCTTGTGCTGGGCCCAGCCGCTGAGAATTGGCGTCATTGTCACCGCAGCATAACCTGTCCTTTAACAGCCACGTGACCTTTGTTGGAAACAGATGGAAATAGATGCTCGGTGCCGCAAAGAAAAATTAGCACTGAGACAAAGGATCCTTCAGTAATGCAATGTTTACATCCTGGACTGCAGGAAGGGGACCCTCCCTAGCCATCTTGCCACGAGAGTCCAGTGAACAAAGGAAAACACACACATTTATTCCTTACGCATTTGGGGTCATCCTCACTGCTGGGTCTGATCTCCGTTGGCTGGAGCCAGACCTCACAATCTAAACTGAAACCCGATTGGCTAACAACTTAACACTTTTCTAAACAGGTAAGAGCAGTGGAGAGCTGGGACATGTCTGTGAGCACGTCCAGCACAGATATCTTGGTTAAAGTACAAGGACACAGGATGGACTACGTGCCTGTAAGCATGGCGTGTCTAACAGCTACAGAGGATAGGGCTTCACAAGGTTATTAGCACGCTTATTCTTTAACAAGAAAGGGAACTTTAAAAAGGAACTTT